AAACCCTAAACCCCTAAACCCTAAACCCTAAACCCCGAACCCCTAAACCCTAAACCCTAAAACCCTAAACCCTAAACCCTATAACCCTCCCATACCATGAGGATCACAAGTGAGACTAGGGCCTGAAACGAAAGGGCATTCATCAACCAGGGATCCCCCACCCTGTAATAGTGACCATAAGGATTATATTAATATTGTATTAGGGCCCTATTATATTCCTATTATACCACTATTACAGGGTGGGGGCAGCTTCTAAACTATCATTCATGTTGGAAAGCCTACCAGAAGACCATGCACAGGCACGCAAATGGTTCTAATTCACGAGGTTAGATCAGAAAGGCCGTGAAGCTGTACGGTTTGGGCATTGGGCTTGGGATCCTTTACAGGTATCCGCAGCATTCAGAGAATCGCCGACCCAACAGAATAGACGTTGAGCAACAGGATCCTTAAATCCGAAATCCTGAGTCCCAGCAGAAACCCTAATCCCCCAAGCTGACCCAGCTCGGCTGCATCGGAAATGGGCCACAGTTCCCCACGGGGCATTTCGCCTCCCAGTCCAAGGGCAGGGCAAGGACCTTGGAGTTTTGCTCATGGGCTCAGGGGTTAGACCCTAAACCCTAAACCCTAAACCCTGTAGAGTTTTTGGATTTAAAAGTCTAGTACTGTACCTAGATGTCATCAAAGGAATGGGGTCGAGGGCTTGGGGTTTAGGAACGGGGGTTTAAGATTTCGGGCGGTTTGCAAGTCCAGGTTCAACTATGTTAGGACTATATAAACCCCAAAACGTTAAAGGTTACCTACTCAGCTGCTAGGGCCGACTTTGATTCGAAACCTTCAGTGAACTCCGCTATGTGATGGCTTAAGAGTGGGTAGAGGGTTTCAGGGCCCAGCGTTAGATACTGCCAAGGACCCCGACCCATGTACTAAATTCCCGTGAATCCTAGACCCGGTATAGTTTTGCCTGATAGGCCTAAAGCCGAAACCCGAGTACCCCACCCGCTAGAAGCCTGACGCAGTTCAGGGTTTAGGCTTGAGGGCTTCAGGGGTTAAAGTTTAGATTAGCGCTTATAAGGTTAAGGTTTCAGAGTTTGGGCACTCGAACCTTGCATCCCCAACAATGCAGTGGGCCCAGAGCGTCCGTAGAACTTCTGACAAGGACTACATAAAATGCAGGGTGGTTCACATTCAGGATTGGGTTGGTCTACTTGGAGGTTCATGGGTAGTTATAAGTAGGGTTATAAGTCCCCTAATATAGGTTATAACTATGGTTATCCTACTTATACCCCTACTTATAACTACCCATGAACCTCCAAGTAGGGTGTCAGTTTTCGACGTGCAGGGACAACCGCGTATGGGCAGAAAGCCCAAATCCTGAACCCTGAACTCTCGTAGGAGTTTAGGGTGCTTAGACGTCTTTTCATGCTTCGAGAACCTCATCAAGCCCTTTTCAGGCTTTACTTTGAACTACTAAACACTACTTTGTGGTAGGGTCCTTATACATTCTGTATTGGGGTTTGAATGCGAACCTACAGGAAAGGTCGGTTCTGGTTTTTGTTTAAGGTACTTGGAGGTTCATGGGTAGTTATAACTAGGGTTATAAGTCCCCTAATAAGGGTTATAGGTTAGTTATCCTACGTACAACCCTACTTAAGTAATGCGTTTAAACAGGTTTTTGGGGTTCTAAGCCCCAGAACATGGATCATCAGCACGAAAACCTGGTCTGTCTGCTCTGCACTTAGCTAAGCTTGAGATCTTCGTGGCACGCAGTTGCTTCCACATGTTGCTTGCTCATCCACAGACCAGACCAATGTCCAGAGCATCCTTTTCTGAGCAACCCAAGAATATGTGCAACACGATTCTGCGACAATACGTTCTCAATCTTCTGCTTCCCAGACCCCCGGGAGGATCCAAAAAGTACATCCCCTATTTAATGGGGGTTCCTATAAAGTACCCTTAGTAGTATAGCCCCAATTCGGGGATCTACTTTCTAGATCTTTGCGGGGGTCTGGGTTTGCGCAAGCCCCATGTCCGGGCAGCCCCGGGGTGGAACGGGTTGGGCACACGACCCAATGTAGGGACCTGAATAATTAGAATAAGGTTTCGGGGTTTCTTATTGTTGTGTGATTACCTAGAGGCTCCAAGGTAGTTCCTTTTTGGGGTTCATATTCAGAATCCTATCCTATTAGGTAATCCCAAAAAGGAACTACTTTAGAGCCTATGGTTATATAGTATAACCTACCCTCCCCCCCCGCCCCCAGACACTATTCTCTGAACTCCAAGAGTTCCTCTCGACCTAGAGGGACCCTTGTCTGACCGCAAGCCGCGACCGAATCTCGATGAACGGGACTGTCTCACGCCTGGATTTTTGTGTACTACAGGGGCCTTCATAATTAGAACAGGGTTTCGGTCCCATTAGACTATATCTATAACAAGGAGCCCCCCCCAAATGGAATATAGGTAATTATTAAGGCCCCCAGAATACTTGTAATAGAAGCCCGTAGGGTTTAGGGTTAAGGGCTTCTGTCTCGAGGTCATCACCCTCATCGACGGGCTTGTCCGAGATGGTGACAGGAGATAGGGTTTAAAGTTTAGGGTTCAGGGTTTCGCGGCTTAGGGTTTATAGGTTTCACGGTTTTGGGTTTCACGGTTTAGGGTTTGGGGTTTACCTCAACCCGGAATAACCTACCGTTTTAAGAACTTTTATAAGGAACTCATAATAAGGAACCCTAAAAAAGGTAGGTTTTTCAGGGTTAAGGTAGAGTTTAGGGTCACGTAGCACTGCGATGCTGGCGGGAATGGCAGGAACCCCTGTCCTGGCCTCATGGCCTCAGTTCTCTGAATTGGCTTAGGATTTACCCTAACCCTGAACAACCTACCTTTTTAGGGTTCCTTATTATGATTTCTTGATATGAGTCCGTAAAAATGTAGGTTCTTCGGGGTTAAGGCGGGGTGTAGGGTTTAATACATCTTAACTTAACTGACGGGCTCGCGACGCTATTGAAGATGCCTAGTCCAATTGAATATCTGCACGTTCTAGATACACATTTGGTTAGCGTCCAGGGCACGCTGCAACGCGCCGGCGTCTTCTTGACACGTGGCCCGACTCCCAATCAAACCTCTTCAACCCTAAACCCTAAACCCCTAAACCCTGTGAGTGCGGCGCATCAGTGCTATGCCATCGGTTGAACAAAGGGGCAGCTCAACCTTCACCAGCATTAGGGTCTGAGCTTTCAGGTGATGTAAGCTGATATGAGGCTCTATCGGCTTTCGGAGATATTGAAAAAGGGTTTATCGGGATTCACACGGTTTCGTCAGGTTTTCTAGGTGTCTACATGTACAAGATTTTCTGAACATTCAGGTTTTCGGGCTGAGGGGCCACAAAGCGAGCTGTAGTGGTCCTTCATACCGAGTGCACAAGACCAACCAACCGCGCTGCTTGCATAGTTACCCAAAGCGTCTACGATGCAAACACTGGCTGTACAAGACCCTAGTAGCTAAGAAATGCAGGGGCTACGTCACTTGGGTAGCATCAAAACCGTCCTGAAACCCTGCACCCAACACCCAGCATGTATAAGAGCCAGATTTCTTCTCTGGGGGTATTCGGAGACTCCTGACGACAAGCACTCTAGGAGGGTCTGCGACTAGGTGGTTTCCAGAAACGAGTTGCATTTTTGAGACATGAGAATGTGTCGCAAAAGCGAGAAATCAAATGCACCTAAAACCCGCATGATGGTACAATAAACAGGGCACTGGAATCCGATCATCAAGGGCTGCCTGCAATACCACACTAAACCATCTATCGAATTAATCCTAACAAAACCCTATCAGAACAGCGAGAACTATCCCAGCACACCGTAATAAACTCATAAACAGCCCTGGTCTAGATATTCAAACCCCTATATCAAAGCAGCGCTTGTTGTGTACGTCACGCCAGCCAATTTCTAGCGGTTCATATCTTACGTAGCTAAACCCTAGAGGGCAGCTCCTTTTCGGGGGATAGCCTGTTTTATCGTTGGGATCTCATGTGCTAGGCTGTAGTTGGGCTGGCACTACAGTTCTATTTGGGCGATAGCTAAACGGAACCTCCCTGTAGGGTTTTCGGTTCCGCCTCCCAAAGGATGTCAAGCAGGTTCTCCATGGATTCCGGCTCAACTCCAGGCCTCAGCAGCCTGTGCCGCTGAACGATGTCCACAAGCTCGGCCGCGGTAGCATGCGACTCGAGCTTCTTGATGTAGCACAGAACATACTTGGAGGTTCATGGGTAGTTATAAGTAGGGTTAGAGGTTGGATAACCATAGTTATAACCCATATTAGGGGACTTTTGACCCCAATTATAACTACCCATGAACCTCCAAGTAGGGCTTCAAGAGCGCCAAGCGGGGTCTGCCCTCCCCTGTGTTGTGGTCCCAGGGGTTTACACCCTGAGTGAATGGCCCTCCACATGAGGAACTGAGCCCCTAAAGCGGTCCAGACATCGTCTCTGCTGTAAAGCTGCGCTGATCCTGGCATCTTATGGTAACCCTGAAGAAAACGAGCCAGGCGACGAGTGACGACTCCGTCGGGATGTCCGGCGGACTTGCGGGCGCAGCCGGGCAACAACTCATCCATCAGAACTGCATTTATATTTGGTAATCTGAAAACAGACGGCCGTTACCCTATGGAGCAACTCGCACTCTTGTTCACTATCTCTCCTCCTTGGTAACCTCAAGTAAGCTCAATCCTCAGAGCCCCACTTCAAAAGCCGATACCCAACGAAACCTACATGGTAGCCTTACTAAGCAGAACGGCTGTTGGGGCAGATTACAGCAGTATGACAGTCTGGGGAATGATGGCACTATGCCTTGAGGTCCCTCCTAAAGCATGCGAAACCTAAACCGCACACCCTAAACCCCCCAACCCTACCACAGCACCAAACCCTACGTAAACCCGAAACCCGTAAACCCTAAACCTCTTAACAAAACCACGGCTGCTGCCTTGAAAAGGCTCTCCATGGAATCTGATCACACGGAGCCTTACAGGGTTTACAAGGAAGCTCTCCAAACATGTCTGAAGGTTGGAGGCTTCAGGTTTGGGCTTGGAGTGTGGATTTTGGGTTTGAGGTTTAAGGTTTCAAGGAGTGCAATACAAGGCCGGTGTAACAGAATGGGGTTTGGCATAGGGCTCAATGCAGGATCCATGAGAATCTAAATAGAGTTGCGCGGGCATGTTTAGGCCTTATGTGCTATGCAGGGATTTTGGGCAAAAATGATATGATGTGAGGTGATGAGATTTGATGTAAGATGAGATGATATGATACCATATTATGATGTTGTCACAAATTACTCGGACTCCAGGTGGCTTTAGAAAACTTGTGCCTGAGTCTGAGGTTTAAACTACCATAACTTACTTTGTTCTAGGTTCTTCTGTTGCCCCTAATATACGTGGAACTTTTAGTGCTCTGGGCTTGGGGGGTTTTGGTTTCGGGGGTCAGGGGACTAGGATTCTTGTGGTGTAGAGACCCTACAACAAAGCAGGTTTTTGGTAGCGCTCAAGGTAGGTTTCGCGGCAGCTGGCTTGCGGCTCAGGGAGAAGGATGTTAGGCCTCCGGCTTCACATAGTTAAAACAGCTTACGCAGAGGCTCCATATATGCTACTATCATGGAATTAGCTCCCTAAAGCCACGGTACGGATGATCTTTTGTGACCTACTTCCGTAATGGTAGTATATGTGGACCCTCTTGATTATGCCCCGAAGCCCGAATCTAAGTAACAAGGCCCCGACATGCAGGTCTTCGGGTTTGGGGGCCTACAAGACAAAGCAAGCGGTGGGCTATAAGCCAGGGTCCTGAGGCCAAGGACCGTCATTCCACTAAGGCGGTGCTTCTGTACGGGATTTCTCGGCATGGGGGAGTGCGGCGGCTTAGGGTTTAGAGCCAAAACAGGAGTGTGGTAGATGGTTTGAAAGTAGATTCCGGTTTTGGGGGTTGGTATCTTCCCGTAAGGAAGCGTGTTCATAATGGTACCTCCTTGAACATGACCTTTATGACAAGTTACGGGTATAAAATGGCGGCCTGAACATCCCCCTTAGGAAACCCCAGTTCAAGTTTTCGAGACTGGGGACCCCTGAAAAAAAGAGATGCTGCCGCCTTGCACCACGGGTCCGCCGCCTTCTCTGGCAATTTTGTCAGCATTGTCCCTGGCCGGGGTTTAAAGGTCACGCGATCATGTGCTCAGAGGACACAGGGAGGATAAAAAGCGCTTCTGATCTCAAATATGCCTTCAATTAATTGAGGAAACTGAAATGTCAGCTTAGGATTAGTAGTAAGGCTGCTGCACATTAAGGCTTAGCGTGTGGGGTCTAAGGACCGTTTATGCCCCGGGCTCCTACCCACGCGAAGAATACGGATTTGATTAGGCATCCCTAGAACCCTAAAAACTAATCCCTAAAAGCCCTACGCCCTAAACCCCAGACCCTAAAGCCCTAAACCCTGTAAAAAGACAAAAACCCTGAACCCTAAAGACCCTAAAAGCCCTAAACGCCAAAAGCCCGAAACTTAACGGTGGACTTGGTTTCGATCTTTGGCCGGTAAAAATTGCGGGCTCCCAACCCGACTCCTAAGTCTCTGAACGCTACTCAAAGGATCAGGGACTTAGCAACTAGATATACTGGGTTCTTGTTGTTGTTGTTGTTGAGGAAGTTTATGTTAAGTTACCATAATCGGAATCCTTTCAGGGTTCCTCTAAGGGATCTATACAGGGTTTAAGGTTTAGGTGAAGGAATTTCATTTAAGTTACCATCTAGGGATCTATTGTAATTAAATAAACGGGTTTCCTGATTACGATAACTTAGATTAAGCTCCTAAGCAAGAACCCAGTATAGAGAAGGTAGTTATACTGGGCTTCGAAGTAACCAAGGGAAAAACGTGTAAATTTTCCTTTCATTCATAATGGCTCCCTTTAAGTAACAGGTCCCCGAAAAGAAATAAAGTATGATAAGTACTCCAAAGCCCAGTATACTTCTTCTTACTTACTTAAACCACAATCGCAGTGAGCAGTAACTTTTTGGAATAATACAGCAACATCTAAGCCTCTAAACCCCTGACCCAGACCCTAAACCCTAAAACCCTAAACCCTACTTGGAGGGTCGGGGGACTTAGTAACTGGTTATTTTAGGGACTTATAAGTACCATAACCCCAATCAGGGTCCCTTTTAGGGTACTTATAAGTCTACTTACTACCTACTTACTAAGTCCCCCGACCCTCCAAGTAAACCCCAAACCCGAAACCCAAAAAGCTAGACTCTGAGCCCCCAAAACCCTTCCATCGAAGAGCCTCGAGATCTTCCAAGGAATGATGATCAACAGGGCCTTAGAAGAGTTCCGAGTTTAGGGTTCATGGCTTACCTTAACCCTGAATAACCTACCTTTTTAGGGTTCCTTATTATGATATATATATATATATATGTGGTTCTTCAGGGTTAAGGTAGCATTCTTACTTGAAGGCTCATGGGACTTAGTAAGCAGGGTTATAAGTAGGTTTATAATTAGGATAACCCCAACCCTCAACACTAGCCCAGTTAGGGGACTTATAACCCCAATTATAACCTACGTTCTAAGTCCTCTAAGGGTTCACCTTAACCCGCAAGAACCTACCTTTTTAAGGACTTATATAAAGAAATCATATTAGGGAACCCTAAAAAGGGGTGGGTTCCTTTAGGGCCCAGGCATGGCGCTTAGGGTTCCGGGTTTAGGCCTTAGAAGAGCTCCAGGCTCGAGGGGCTTTAGGGACTGCAGGGCTTCTCAGGGTTGATAATTGTCTAAATATTTAATACAGTTATACATTTATAAATACATTATAATCAGATCGTAAGCAAATTTGGTGTATATATGGGTTGAGGGTTTTAGGGTTTAGGTTTTAGGGTTGAGGTTTTTAAGGGTGTAGGCTCTTAGGGAGCGAGGCAAGGTCATGAACCGGAACCGCTTTGCGACCAATGCCCAAATTGGTGACCGCGAGTCCTTAAAGGTTCATGGGGCTTAGTAAGGGTTGCTTTAAAGGGCTCCTTTAAGGGATCCTTTAGATCAATTATAAGGGTTCTTCAACGGGGAGTTTAGGTTACTTAAAGGATCATGGGACTTAGTAAGTATGGTTATAAGTACCTTAATTGGGGTTATAAGTAATTATAAGTGTAGCTACCCTAGAAATAACCCCAGTTACTAAGTCCCATGATCCCCCAAGTAGTGCAATAGAATCCGTATGCCGACAAAGTCGAGCGACAGTGCTGTAGGACCCCTAACATAGGGGCCTTTGTAATTAGAACAGGGTTTTGGGGCCCAGTATACTATAAACATAACAAGGAACCAGTTATGAAGGGCCTTACACATTTGGACCCTTACAGCACGTGGAACCTCTGGTTTTGCGGCCATGTAATGATCTGCACAGCTTGTTCAAACCCGCTAGTCAAAATTCCTACAAAGCAACAAAAACACTAAAGCCTATAACACCTTGAATCCTCAACTCAAAACTCCCACACCCAAAACCCTGAACCCAAAACTGCAAAGCCCCTAAAACCTAAAAGCCTAAAAGCTAAACCGTGAACTCAAAACTGCAAAACCCCTGAAACCCGAAAGCCCCTCAACCCTAAACCTAGAACTGCAACACCCCTAAAACCCTCAAACCCCTAAGGCCTCGATCCAAAAACCCTATACCCTTATGTCCATTTCGGGGCACCCCTACACCCTAAACCACAGGGTTTAGGGTTTAGGGTTTAGGGTCCCCTGAAACCTGCAGCATCTTCCTTGCACTGGCACTGGCAGCATGGCTGCAGTGGTCCATGCCTATGGAACCGCAGTTCGCAGTTCCTAAACCCTTCATAAAAGAAAGGGACCCTGATTTAGAGAACTACCCTAAATCCTAAGCGCTAAAACCCCAAAGAATTGAAACCCATATTAACCCCAAGTTACCCTAAATCTCAAGCACTTAGGCCCTTCTATGAAACCCTGAACCCTGAGGCCCCGAAAGCCCCAAATCCCTAAACCCTCATCCCAAATCCGAACCCTATAGATCCCCTTAAGGAGCCCTTTAAGGAACCCTAAACCATTACTTCCTAAGTCGCCCAGCCCAAAAGCTCTCTGGCCCCAATTCTCTTTGGTCGCCGAGGAGATGCACCTAAAGCCCCAAAATCCCCTAATCCTCCCCCGAAGCCCTGAACCCTAGAACCTAAGCCCCTACACCCCCAAACCCCTAACCCCCCAACCCCAAACCCTTAGGAATCCCTTTTGGTAACCCTTGTAGATCCCTTTAAAGGAACCCCCAAACCCCCCAAACCCTCACCCCCAAATTTCCCCAAACCCCCTGAGCCCTACAGCCCCCTTGCCCTTTAAGGAGCCCTAAACCCCCAAACCCCTACAGCCCTACAGTAGAAGCCGGAAAGTTGGAATATCAGTATCATAACCCCTTTAAGGTAAACTATAGGGGGTCCTGCCATTATTCCCTTTTCCAACTTTCTGGAGTTCCCTTTAAAGCCCTCCCCTGAAGCCCTTGTAGATCCCTTTAAGGAACCCTATAGATCCCCTTAAGGAGCCCTTTAAGGAGCCCTAAAGCCCTCCTTGTCCAGTCCCCTTGGGCCCCGAGGCGATGCACAAGCTCAGGAGGCCGGAGATGACGTAGCTGAAGCATTGGACGGAGGGGTTTAGGGGTTTAGGGTTGAGGGTTTGGGGTTTGGGGTTTAAGGGTTTAGGGGTTGAGGGGTTTAGGGTTGAGGGTTTGGGGGTTTGGGGTTTAAGGGTTTAGGGGTTGAGGGGTTTAGGGTTGAGGGTTTTGGGTTTTGGGTTTTGGGTTTAAGGGTTTTGGGGTTTAGGGTTTAGGGTTTACGGGGTTGATGAAGGTAGCTAGGGTAGGGTTCCTTGAAGGGTTCCTTTAAGGATTCCATAAGGGTGAGGGGGTTTGGGGTTTAGGGGGTTAGGATTTCAAGGGGGTTTTAGGGGTTAGTGGGTCTTCAGGGTTTAGAGGTTTAGGATTTGAGGTTTGGTGGTAAGGCTTTAGGTTTACTACTTGGAGGGTCGGGGGACTTAGTAACTAGTTAGTAAGTAGACTTATAAGTACCCTAAAAGGGACCCTAATTGGAGTTATGGTACTTATAAGTCCCCAAAATAACCAGTTACTAAGTCCCCCGACCCTCCAAGTAGGGTTTACTAGGGCCCCAGTACAATTAGATGTAGACCTTACGGTCGCTAATCATGGGTATTCAATCTACAATAGGAGGTAGTTGGGGGGCCTCGTAGGTTTCCTAAACAGGTGCGGAAAAGGGCTCGTATAAAGGGATCTACAAGGGTTCCATAAGGGTCTAGGGTGTAGGTTGTTTAGGGTTTGAGGGTTTAGGGCTTCATGGTTTAGTTTCTAAACGTTGTGGCTTATAGGTTATAGGGTTTAGGGGTTCAGGGTGTGTAGGGGTTTAGGGGTTTTGGGAGCTAATTAGGGTTTAGGGTTTTAGGGTTGATGGTTGCGGATAAAGTGGGTGCTTGCTGGCTTCTCAACCGGATTCGAAAGGTTCTAGAAGGGGATCAAACGATCCTTGGCCTCGAAATCGCAACAGCTTGGCAGAGTTGCTGAAACCGTCTCGCATTGTCAGTTGCCGGGACCTTACATCCCGACGGAACCTGGCATTGGCACCCACACAGAGGACCCGGGACCGTTTTAGGAGGAAGCCGATGGAGCCTCCCCAGCCACGACAAAGGCAGACCGCGTCGCGGCGGTATGCACAGAACAGAATGCGGCATCTATCGAAGGCCAGCGGACGGATAACACCACTACTTGGAGGCTCATAGTTCCTTTAGGTGGAGTCATACCTAGTTCATGGCTGAGATAGGAATAAAAAAAATTAAACCCATTGAAGTGTAAAATGATACCCAGCTATGACAAAGATACATGTAGTGACATTTCCACAGTATCAGCTCTGGCCCCAGCACCAAAGCCATAAACTTAGCCTTAAACCGTAAAGCCTAAGCCCTAAAAGTTCCCCCGAAGCCCTTCACACTCGCACTGTCTTCCCGTCAGGAACCCAAACAAAAGAAGGCGCTACTACACCCAAGCGGGGGTCTGCAAATTAGGGGCCAGGGGTGTTTTAGGGGTTTTAATTAAGGTTTAGGGCTTTGGGGTTTCAGGATTTTAGTTTTTAGCGTTTAGGGTTTCTGCACTACATGCTAGACCTCCGAGCCCACCTGTTGGCGATCAGGCGGAAGCCGTTCATACCGCGGTAGCACATGTTGGTCGTCAGGCCCTGGCCGCATCAAACGCTTAACCACTCTAAACCCGAACCGCTAAACCCTTAAATCGTTAAACCCCTCAGCCCTATAAACCCATAAACCTTACGCCCCTATAAACCCGAAACCCTAACCCTTACATCATTACACCTTTAAAACCCCTAAACCCAAAACCCTAAGCCATTAAACACCTGGACCCCTGTAAATACTAAACCCCTAACCGCTACAACCCCTGAACCCCTAATCGGGTCGAAGCTTTGGTGGCTTTAGGGGATCCCCTAGTACGTTGCGTTCTTCCATAAGTTCCACGATCTGTGGGGCTAGGATGGAGTTGGCAGGCAGGCGGAATGTTCGGAGGCCTGGTTTGGATAGTCCAAAACGGACCCCACCACTAGGTACTCGGGTTTAGGACGGTGGTTATGTAGGTTCGCATTTGGATAGGATCATTCGGTGCTTGGACCCTTAGGGTGGGAGAAGATGGAATGCCCTAAAGTTTTGCGGCTTCGGATTTAAGTTCTAGGGCCTCAGGATTACAAGGGTTTGGGGTTCAGGCACCATAACCTCTCAGGCGCTTGTACTACGAAGCATCTCTCCGCCGACATCCGAAAGCTGTGGAGCCTCGAAGAGCACCTCACCTCGAACCCGTAAACTTAAACTGGTCCAAAAAGCAGCATGCACGGCTATACTTTGGTCAAGTATCTTGCCGGAGTTCAACTCAAGCCAAATCAAACCCTAAACCCTAAACCCTAAGCCACACGAATCTCTGAACTGCCTCTTTCAGAAGCCTAAGGGTCCATGTACTAATATAGTATATACATTGGCCTTAATGTAGGCCCCGTTTGGGAACTTTGGGGCGAATGCATCTCTATATGGGTACATGGACCCTTAGGGGAAGCCCTGAGTGTGAACACGATCAGCCTGTAACTTCCGAACCACGGATAAGCCGACTGCCGAGACCTATGAAGTCGTCAAGACAGAGTTGACAATCGTGCGGAACTGTAAAAACAAACCCTAAACCCTCAACCCTCAACCCTAAACCCTAAACCCTATACATCGAACCCTATAAAGCCCATGTAAAGCCCTGCCAAGGCCCTTTCATGTTGCCCTCGTTTAAGTATGCACGCGCGCCAGAACACCGACCAGGCAGTAAATTCGTAATAAAACCGTCGAAAGTGTGAAACCCATGTTTAAGAATACAAAGCACATTAGATCAGGTTCAAAACCAACAAAGACACCCAGCCTCCCAGAAAGCTCGCATGAAGCCGCAATTCCTGGGCGCACAAAGGGTCGAGTTTATACTTTCGCACACGGTCCTAAAAATTAGATGAGGGATGTGGGGTATGTTATAGTATAGTCATAGTAGAAGCCCCAAGGAGCACATTTTCATGATCCAAGCTTCTATGCTATACTGGGTGGCGGGTTTGGGCGAGCTGTGGTCCAGGGATTTTGGTGATTTTATATGCTGCTCCATAGGGCATACTGCCGGCGCCCTTACCGGTATACTAGTCCTAAACCCTAAATTCTAAATCCTAAACCCTATTTCTAAATACTTCATGCCAATGTGACAACCTCAGAACGGACGAACCCGGAAGGCCACCACCCAGGCTACAGGAGGCAAGGGCTCAGGGCATAGGCTTGCAGGGTTTTAAAGTAAAAGCCAGAAAGTTGGAATATGATTATCCTAAGCCCTTAATGGTAAATTATAAGGTATCCTACCCTGAAACCATATTCCAACTTTCTGGAGTTCCCTGTAAGGCTTTAGGTCCCTAAGGGTCCATGTGCTCATATAGTACATACATTGGCCTTAATGTAGTCCCTATTTGGGTACTTTGGGGCGAATGTATCTCTATATGTGCCAGCATCCGCGCACCCCCCCCCCCCTCCCCCCCCCATGGTAATCCCCCTCCCCCCCCCTGTGGTTCCTGTGGTTCCCCCCCCCCCTGTGGTTCCTCTTGGTTTTCCCCCTCCCTTTTGTGGTTCTTCTGGTTCCTGTCTCCCCCCTCCCCCCCTGTGGTTCCTGTGGTTCCTCCGCGTGGTTGCTGCTGCTTTGTTGTTGCTGCTGTTCTTCTTCTTGTTCTTGTTCTTGTTCTTGTTGTGTGGTCGCCCGGGTCGGGGGGGGGGGTTACCATTGGGGGGGGGGGGGGGGGGGGGGGGGGGGGGGGGGGGGGGGGGGGGGGGGGGGGGGGGGGTCGAGAACGCGGAGCGCGGGCACATATATGGGTACATGGACCCTTAGGGGGTATTGAGTGGTTGAAGATGTTTTGGGTCATTTCAGGGTTTCGAAACAATTTCTCAACGTTTAATTACGGTTTTAGGGTGTATGGCTTTAGGGTATAAAGTATATCGGATGTTAGGGCTCGACAACCGAATGCTACTAGAGTCCCACCTGCACCCCGAAGCAAGTACCCAAAGCTACAACACCACTTGATTAATATTGAAGGGCCACCTGCTGAGGGGATCAGGGGACTTAGAAAGGACGTTTATTATCAGTTGTAAGTACATAAACGCTGTTGTACTTCCAGTGATACAGTTCCCTTTCCTCATTGCCCTGTACCTACTAAGTCTGCGAAACCTGTGGGTGGTTGTCAAAATAAGGGTCCCTTTGTTGGTCCCTATAATTGTACGGCACCTGATATTTAGGGTACTCAGAAAGGGACCCTAATTTTGACAACCACCCCTGTATTGTAGCTCGATCGACATTGCAAAGGGGAGTGCCGTCACTGAGCAACAAACCCCATACCCACACGCTTTAGGGTGTCGGTGTATACAAAAAGGATTTAGGGAGGTTCTCGGGTTACATCAGGGTACCCTGAATCCTAAACCCCTAGATCCTAAACCCTAAACCCTCTGATAGGTCATAACTATAGGACAATTGTGCGTGTTCGAAACCTCCAAAGGGCGCCAGAGAGCGACCCGGAGCCTTATCTCGCTTGTATGCTCGGGTGGGACCCTGGAAAAATAGACTTCTACTAGACCCACTAGACCTAAGACCTAAGAGTAACCTAGGAATAAAAAGGGTGCCCTTTTTGGTTTAAAGGGGGAACTACAATGCAAACGAAAGGTAGGTGTGGATTTCCAAAAAATCCCCGAAACTATGTAATAGTTAGGGCTCCATTTTCGAACTAACTATAAGGAAAATCTAAAAATATCCCCAAACCGATACCTACACTTTAGATCTAACACAGGGTTTCCAGTCCTGGAAACCCCTTGTATATAGACTCTCATCTTAATGGGCCTCAGCTACCCTGAGCCTGGTGACAAGCTTTACCATTCAGGAATTGAGTGAGGGTCTGGTAAAGAGCTTACGAATGCCAGGCCCTAAACCCACCACAAAGAATCCTGAACCCGCAAAATCACAAATCGACACACTCTAAACCTCAAGCTGCTAAATCCTAAACCGCAAATGCCGGAACATCCTGAAACTCTCTTGTAACTTCTGCCATGCTGCAGCAAGTCGAGAAGCTCCACCACTGGCGTGATGATGTCCGTCTGGACCTCGTGACTTACCACCGATAAAGGGTTTTGGGTTTGAGCTGCGATGTCGGGGAGAGTTGTTATGCTGCTGCTGCTGCTGCAGCAGCTGCTAGTGTTGGGCTTTTGGTTGGCGCTGCTGTGATTTGTGTGATGACTGTCGTTGCTGCTGCTGTTGCTGTTACTGTTGCAATTGTTGCTGTTGTGTGGTTCTGGAGGTAGTGGTGGTGGTGCTGCTGCTGATGCTGCTAGTTTTGCTGCTGTATTCCACACTGTCGTCGTTGTTGCAATATGCATCGCTATTGCTATTCCTCTACGCGATAACATTTTGTTTTTTTGAATTACTGTCGTCTTTACTGCTGCCGCTTTAGGACCAAGCTGCTTGCGACGGCGACAGTGCAATGTTGGTGCGGGTGCTATGAATTGCAGCACAGCTGTTGCCATGAATGCTGCTGCTAATACTACGACTACAGCGGCCAAGATGACGACGATGTAAACCCAATAAACCCTAAATTATCCTGACTCTCTCATCCTGCGTCTGCTGCACCTCCTGCCGCCACTGCACCACACCCTAAAACTCTGAGGACGACTATGACTATGCCTCCGGGCCATGCCACGGGGCTTGTAGTGGCTCTTAGCACGGAAGCTTTCGGCGGGCTTGTGCTGCTGGTCGAACATTACGGCTTGTGTAGTCTAGCCGTGCTTGCTTTTTCAGGCAGGTACCCTAAACTAAACATCCCTAAACCCTTGACGCTAAACACCTCAACCCCTAGCCCTAAACCCCAAAACTCTAAACCCTAAACCCCTAAACCCTGAACCAAAAAACCCTAAGCGGCTTCGTGCGTGGAGAGCGGGGTCGGCGACTGGGGGCCGGACGAGATCCTTCATGTCAGTGATGATGGCAGTCAACAACTGGCAGTGCTGGAGTCAAGGCTTAAGTTTTTTCTAAGGTTTAAGGCTTAGGGATTTTTAGGGCTTAGGGTTTACGGCTTTTTAAGATTTAGGGCTCAGGGAGTTTTTGGATTTAGAGTTTAGGGTGTTTAGGGGTTCTGTTCATTTAGGGACGTTTCGGATTTGGGGATTAGGGATTTTTAAGGGTTCTGTGCATCGGGCTTCTCGGACTCGTCGCCCTGCGTTTTGTTCACCTCCTCCTCGGCCTTGTGCTTGAAAGCTCGTATGCCAGCACTTAGGATTGAGGGTTTAGGGGTTTGGGGTTTAGGAGGGTTTAGGTTTAGGGTTTAGGGTTCCAAGAACAGATTGCGCTCCTGTCTCGTCAGGCTCTTCCACCAGGTCGCGTCGACCTTCGTTTCAAAGCCATCGATAACGATGACAAACGACGGCGACATGGCTCACCTGCCTGGTCCGTGGGCTCATCTTGCGTATGCCTTGCCTTGCCGGCTTTGGTGCTGCTGACACGAGCAATGCTGAAAGCTGCCGTTAGCATCCTGCTGAGTTCTAGTGGGATTGCTACTGTTGCTCTTCGTGCTGTGGTCACAGCTTTGGACACGCAGTTGACACGTAGTTATCAATTCAGCAATCGTGAATATTGTGGTTCTCGATTAATATGTGTGTATATATATGTACATATACAGGTATATACGTAGATTTAATTGAATACACCAAGTGACGAGGTGGAGATCGAGATCGTGGAGTGGCTGGTTCCGCTGGTTCAGCTGGAGCAATTAGAACGGGGCTCGCCACATCCAATGATGGTAAAGGTTCTTCTGCAGTACGATCTGCCAAGGGGGAGTCGGCGAATAGTGGCGTGCTCCGACTGAATTCCCCGAATGCGGGGTGTGTCAGTGTGTCACTGGGGACAATCGCGCGAGCACAAGGTTTTGAAGGTCAGTGGCACCAATGCTACCAAGACGATCACTTAAGTACTCGTAAACCCAATAAACCTCAACCCTAAACTCTAAACCCTAAGCCCTAAACCCTGAACCCTATACCCTAGACTCTAAACCTTAAGCCCTAAACCCTATACCTTAAACCCTAAACCCTAAACCCTAATGGCATGCCTCCTTCTATTCTCAAGCTTGCCACCCCCAGATCGTCCTCGGAACCACGCTGCAGGTGTGCAATGCGCCTCGTCTGCTGCCTAACTTCTGGGAACCTCCAAGCAAAGTAGTTGCTTTGTTCTTTTATGGGCCCTTTTCGAAATAGGGTTTAGGATTTAGGGTTTAGGGTGCTGACAAGGACCGACAACTCGCTGCTGTCAGCATACTCAAACCTTCAACCCTAAACTGAACCATATATATAAGACCCGGAACCCTAACTGCAAAACAGATCGAGCCCAAAACCGGAACCCTGAAGCCAAGCCTGCAAACCCCCGAACCCTCAAATAAGTGCCTTATGAACATACGATGTAATGACCTCAATTATGGAAGCCAGGAAGAAAGCTCGTAGGCAGGACGGAGCTTGTGATGGAATCGAAGTACTCGAAGGTCTGGGCAAGATAGGGTTCAAGGATAGGGCTTGGTTTCGATTTATTCTTGGTTTCGGTTTAGGCTTGGTTTCAGGATTAGGGCTATGGGTTAGGGTTGGAATTGATTTCGAATTCCGGGAGCAATTAGCCAATTTTCTGGGCGTGTTGAGAGTATTTGGTCGCTTGTTTGTGGCGATTGCAGACTCCACGATGTCTCGTTCGATGTTGAATTGTTTCATGTAGGGTGTCAGGTTTCAGGCGTTTGGTGTTTTGAGGATGAGAGTCTTGAGTTGCCGGGTTTTGAATCCACCTTCGGCTCGCTTACAGTGCTTAGACTTGTGCAGTGCAGTGTCTACACATTTGGGGCAGTGAGGTGAAGAACAGAGACACAGGTCATCAGTAAGGACATACTGCGCGGCGGGTCGTAGATGCAATGATGTTGGCCTAGGGTTCGTGGTCTGTGTCAGAGCATTGTAGGGCTCGGAATGTTTAGCAATCAAATTTCTAGGCTTCCTTATGACGCCTATACGATTGTGTGCACATGGACCTAAAACCCTGCAGAGCCTAAGCCCAAAGACTGTAGACGCCAAAGTCAGCTAAGGTTTCCCTAGACCTTAAACCCACAACCCTAAACCCAAAGCCCTAAACCCAAAGCCCAAAGCCCTCAACCCTAAAACCAAAGCCCTAAACCCCAAACCTTAAGCCCTAAGCCCTAAACCCCAAGCTCTAAGCCCGAAGCCCTAAACTTCTAAGCGCTAAACCCTAAACATCATCCTCCAGGTCTCAAAACAACAGCTACGGATTTCAACATTCGCGGAAGAGATTGCCGGTGGGTTTAGAGCGTGGGCTTTAGGGTTGAAACTTTGAAGGATCCCCCTCCTCAGGGTCTACACAAGCTTGCGGTACGAATTTTTGTCTGCAACTCCTCAATATATTACCCATAGGCCCCAAAGTAGTTCCTTTTTCGGATTACCTTATAGGATTCTAAATATGAATCCCAAAAAGGAACTACTTTGGGGCCTTAGGGTAGACCCTAAGCTTCTCTAAACCCGAAACCCTGAACTCAACCCTTAGGGTTTCACATGGGTGGTTGTCAAAACTATGGCTCCTTTTTGGGGTAGCTTTAGGGTTTAAGGTTTAGGGTTTAGGGTTTAGGGCGCCGTATTATAATAGGGACTCAAAGAGGGACCATAATTTTGACAACCACTCACGTGGGTCGGAGCCTTCTGGATGTCCTGCTCGGCACCCTTGACGAACCTTGCACGGTGCTTCTTGGAGGATGTGGGTCTAAATCAATATGGGTGGTTGTCAATATTAAGTCCCCTTTTTGGGTCCTTATTATAACACGGCACCGAATATTTAGGGTACCCAAAAAGCGACTGTAATTTTGACAACCACCCATATGTATATACAGGGTGCAGGGTTGTAAAGTGTAAGAGCTTGAAAGTTTCAGGGTTCGAGGCTTTGGGCTTGCCGACAACCCCGAAGAATCGCTGATCTGCCCTACCAGTCGGTGCTCAAGCCAGTCATTAAAGGGAACTCCAGAAATTTGGAATATGGTTTCAGGGTAGGATACCCTATAATTTACCACAAAGGGTTTAGGATAATCATATTCCAACTTTCTGGCTTTTACTTTACGGGTATTTCCGAGGCACAAGTAGACTTGAGCATCAGACTATACCTAGGGCTGCGAGTGTACCCTATAGAAGCCCTGAACCCTGAACATGTAACCCTACTTATTGGGTCCCTGCCTCTGGTTGAGGATAGTGAGAATATTCTGTGCCTGGAGAATAGCGGGACTATGAAGGGACCCTCATATAGGTACCAATATCGCCATTTTCCCTTGTGAATCACAGGCCTTGCCCAAAAAAAAATCATGTTTTTCGTGTTCAAACATGTTTTACAGATGCATGCATGCATCCATGCATCCGTCCCGCCAACCCACCCACCCACACACCCATCCACGCACCCATCCACGCACCCACCTACCTACATCCAAATCCGTAAACGTCAACCCTGAACCCTAGCTGCAACCCGGACGAACCTCGAACTAAAATCCCTCAACCCTACAAAAAGCCTCCCTCTTCGCACATATGGAACGCGTAAGAAAACTTCTTCCAGCCCTCCCTCATAGAACCCTTCAAGACCCCAGAACCCAAAACCCTAGCAGCAAACGCCCGTGGAATCCTCCGCGGAGATAATCCTCATAACACTGACAAGACCTGCCATGTTACGAGCATATATCCTAACCTAACCCCCGAACCCTAAACCACCAAGACCCTATACTCTGAATCCTAACTAACCCCTGAGCCCTAAACCCTAACCCGCAAGCCACACTTTGCTTCCAAACTTGCTCCCCAAGGCTTGGCGCCCGGCTGGTTGAACTCGGCGAGCGTGCATTTCCTGAGAGTTGGGTTAAGGGTTATTTAAGGGGTGCAGGGGTTTAGGATTAGGAGGATTTCAGGCTTAGAATTCGAGCGTTTAGGGCTCTTGAATCGGTTTTGCAAGGCTTTGGTCTATAGGATTTTGCCCAAGGGTTTCAGGATTTAGGGGTTTAGAGATTAGGATTCAATCCTAACCTCCTGATTACACCCCATAAACCCTGACGTTTAGGCCATAGCAGCCCAGCACCTCCTACTTGGAGGGTCGGGGGACTTAGTAAGTAGGGGGCTCCGATAAAGGGGATAATAAGGGTTCCGATAAAGGGCTCTAAAAGGGTACTAATAGGGTTTAGGGTTCAGGGACTTAGTAAGTAGGTAGTATATAGACTTATAAGTACCTTAATAGGGACCCTAATTGGGGTTATGGTACTTATAAGTCCCTAAAATAACTACTTACTAAGTCCCCCGACCCTCCAAGTAGCGCTTCCTGAGAGTTTAGGGGTTTAGGGGAATAAGGCCCAGAACTCACGTAAACCCTAAAAACCCCCAAATGCAAGCGCTACAAACCCCAAACCCAAAACTCTCAAACCCTCAACCATGGGTTTGTTTTCGGGTTTAGGGGATGGGGGTCAAAGGTTAAAGATTTAGGGGCTGGCAAAGGCCTTTCTGAATTGAGCGTCTGTTCCATATTCCTTAAGTAAGGGGTATTGGGCTCGAAGGGTCAATGTTGTACAAGCGACCCTAGACTCTCAAACCTAAACCGATTCGGTCATGTTGGAGACTTCTGAAGCTCCTCCTCACGTTTGGGGGGCGTCAACCCGATTTCGAAGAGTCAGGGATTCTGAACCTTTGAGACCTGAACCCAAAACCCTACCTAGACCCCCTAATTACCCGCAAATGTACCCTGAATACCCCCTATTAAGGGCCATAAGGGCTCTATTCAGGGGCACTTAACGGGTGCTAGTAATGGGGTAACTGTAACTATATAAGTTCAGGCGATGAAACATGGCCGTTGCAGCTGGGCGGGGGGGGGGGAGGGGATGCTTGTGTTACAGTTGACGATATGAATCCTGCATTACCCTAAGGACCCTAAACTATGGGAATTATGGTATATTCCTTCTTATGGGCAATGCAGGATTTATATCACCAGCCGTACAACCTAGACCCTACCTACAAACCCTATAAAACATATAAGCCCTGTGAACCCGAAACCCTAAACGCCGTAACCCTAGAGCCCAAACCCTTTTAAACCCTACGAACCCTGAACCTCCAAACTTTCCAACCCTAAGCGGCTATGACAAGGTGAACCGCAGGGCTTGAGCGCACGAGCTTGAAAGCTCAGGTAGCAAACAGTCTACATCGGAATGGTATGGGGCTATGAAAAGGATCAGGGGACTTTGTAAAAAGGGCTTATAAGTAAGGTATCTACAACACTTAGACCCCCCAATTAGGGTTTCGCGCTCCTTCAAGTACCTGTGCTACGGTAGTTTAGCGCCTATATGTCGTGGAGAGATACCCCCTAAGCCCTAAACTCTGAACCCTAGACTCGACGCTCTTCAAGCCCGGCACCCTGAAACCCTAAAATCCCCCTTAGGGTTTAGGGTTTAGGGTTTAGGGTTTAGGGTTGCATGTTGAGCGGCCGAGTGCGTCGATACACGGTGTCCCCGTACAGGCAGGTCTGGCAGACGAGATTGATCCAGGTTGGAAGTTGCTAAACCCGAAGCCGTTCCCAGAGAGCCCTTAAGGAATACCTAGGATTAGGGCTCCTGCAAGGGATCTATGAGGGATCTGTAGGCTTAGGGCTTAGGGGATTCTAATACCCCTTAATTAGGGAATATAGCTTGAATCATAATATGAAGCCCTATTATAGTTTAAGCCATATTCCTTAAGTGATGGGTATTGGGCTCTCTGGGTTAGCCCTACCTGTGGCCCCCCAACGACCGACCCTCTTGAAGAAGAAAATGAAGACCACAGGATTTAGGGATTTAGGCGTTCAGGGTTTAGGGTGTAGGGTTTAGGGTATAAGGACTCCTGAAAAAGGTATGCTTCTTTGGCCTATAGGCAAGCACTACATCGTAAACGAAAGTAAGGTTCAACGGTGTAAGCGGTAGGGTTGACCGTGACAGGAGTGGGTGCCGGGCTGTTTTCGGAGTTTACCTACAGGGCTTCCCTAAGGGAAGCAGGACAAGTCTAAAATGAGTGTCGTGGGGGAAGCCAGCCATAATTGTAGGAAAGAGCCCCTAACTAAGACCATATTCTAATTATTAAGCTCCCTAGAGTAGCTGTGCCACTCTACCGACGTGTCGCTCTTGCGAGGACCGCGGTTCTGCGACGTCGCGCCTGCGGAAACCCTAAACTTATCGCTGAACCCTGTCCCTAAGGGTCCGAGTACCTCATAATCATATACTGTCCCAAATGTTACTTGTAACTACATAACTATCATCCGAAACCTAAGGACCTAACTATTGGGTCCTTTGGACCCTTAGGGTGTGCTCAAAGCGAGCACAGCTATGGGTTGACAAGGAGATGTATTTAACGCACAAACACAAACTCTCCCTCCCTCTCTCTCGCGATGCGTTGAGTGGAAAGCGCTAGCGCAGTCAGTCGGGGAAGGCAGCTTGACAATAACCCTACGGCTCAAACTAGCCCAAAAGCCATATATAGTATGGTCTTTGGGCCCAAAAACCTGAATATTTGAGTCCTTAGAGCCTTAGGGTAAGGCCACGCCTTTTCACCGCCTGGCCCGCTTCTTCGACTCGGCCTTTGCCGCCTTTGCCTCCTCAGCCTCAGCGGCCTTCTTCGCGGCCCACCCAGAGAGCCCAATACCCCTTCATTATTATATAGGGCTTCATATTGTGATTTAAGCTATATTCCTTAATTGAGGGGTATTGGGCTCTCTGGGCAGGCAGCCTTCCTCGCGTCCTTGCACTGCTGAGCGAACATGAAGAAGTCCCGCTCCAGCGCCTCGAAAGGCAGCGTTCTCCTTTTAGCCGGGTCGAACCACCCCGAGCCTCCAAAACCCCTGAATTAAGGAATCTGGTTTACATTATATAGGGCTTAATATTATGATTTTTAAGCTATATTCCGTAATCAAGGGGTATTGGGTTCTCTGGGCAGAACTTGCGGGGAGGATGCGTCGCATACCTTGGCGGTTTAATTGTCATCGACACCCAAAGCTAAACCTCGGCAGCTAAGACCGGTGCTCCCAAACTCCAATCCCAACCTCAAACCCCCTTCAAACACCAAAACATGGCGAGCGGGGCATTGATCCAGGTTCCACCCTGCGAAGGAGCGGTTCCGTGGGCCAGTCTTCGGGGTCCTCATGTTGAGGATCCTACTATTTAGGGTCTCGTTGTTGGTTCCCTTATTTTGTGACACTCCTTATGCTACTAGATACAGTTATACATATACACCCAAGAGCACTCTTTGTCTATATCTCTCTCGCGCTCTCTCCCCCTCCCTCTCTCTCTCTCTCTCTCTCTCTCTCTCTCTCTCTCTCTCTCTCTCTCTCTCTCTCTCTCTCTCTCTCTCTCTCTCCCGTTGCACTCTTATGACAAAGAAGCCTCCGTTCCTTCATCAAGAGGCATTATCTAATTACTCTAGCAAGTTATTGAAGATTCCTCTGCGAAAGCAGCGAAAACATCAAGTCCAAAAGAGAAAAGTCGCCCCAACAAGAGCTAAGATCCTTGTCAAGTTTACGATGTCCGGCATCATTCTTGTTGGGGGCTATGAGCTTTGGTGATTATAGGTCTACCATTGGCAACCTAATTCAGAACAAACCCCTCATGCAAAAACCTTACAGAGCATAATCTCATGAAAGCCCTGTAACACTGCTTGCAGACTTTGATCAGCCCAGCGAAGACGCTGAGGGGCGAGCAGATTGCACCATGTTGCGCGGGTAGCACGGCGTAGGGTCATTGGGGCCGTTGACGATGTAGGTGCACATGAACCTTGTCGGGCTTGGCGCCAGCGGAGCTCTAAGCGTAGTAGTCGTCTTCGTCGTCGTGGCCGCCGTCGTCATTATGGTGGTCGCTGCGGTGGCGGTGTCAGACGCAAAGGAGTACAGTAGCCGCAGCAGCAGTGGCTGCAGCAATGCTGGTAGTGGAAGCATCAACACAAGCATCAGTAGTCGTTAGTAGTAGCAACAGCAGCGACGGAAACAAGCATAATGCCATCATCAGACCAACGGTCAATGTTGCCTTCACTAGACCTAGTTACAGTTGGCAAGGGAGAATAGCAGTTGCAAGTGAGTGGCAAGAAATACCTGTAGCAGCAGAAACCCCCAGAGCTCGCACAGCAAGCTATCCAAGATCCCGAGGATTTCATGCAGCCAATTGATTCCAGTCCAGCAGGAGTAGGAGTAGCGCGTTGGACTGGGAATAGGACGAGAAGCAGGAGCAGTCGGAGTGGGAGTAGGGGTACGGGTATAGGAGTAGGAGTAGGAATGGGAGGAGGAGGAGGAGGCGGCGGAGGAGGAGGCAGAGGAGGAGGAGGAGGAGCAGCAGCAGCAGCAGCAGCACGAGCAGTAGAATCAGCAGAAATGGAAGCGGCATTGGCAACACCGACCGCAACAGCAGCGGCAACAGCAACAACAACCAGCAGCCTGCATCATCGCTACCGACAGTCAGGTCAGAGCGTCTACGGGCCAGCTAACATCAGACCAATCAAAGGACACGCGGGGATGAACCTTTCATGCAACAAGTGCAACTGTCACAAGTGATTGCTAAACTTGGCAAGTCATCATCGTCATCACCACCACCACCACCACCATCATCATCATCATCATCACTGTCATCATCATGACCAGCAGCATCATACCACCATCAGCATATCACGATCATAATCGCCGTCGTCATCATCATCATCATCATCACCATCGCCATGCTCATCGCGATCATCATCGTCATCATCACCCTCATCGCCACCATCACCGTTATCGTCATCATCAGCATCACCACCATCATCGATATCTGCATCATTATCAACCTCATCATCATCATCATCATCATCGTCATCATGATCATCAAGATCATCATCTGGCAGCTCTGGCTGAGCTGAGGTGTCAACAGCTCTTCTGTCTGGAACTGCTGCCTCAGTGCTCTTTACATGAGCCAGAAGCGCTCGATTGCACAGAGTTCAGCACTCAGTTTCAGTAACGCCGTACCAGAACTGCGCACGAAAACTGACTATAAAAGTTTTTCTGATGACTATGACGTGTTCGGATATATCATAGTACAATTATATTGAGAACTCGCACGCACGGAGTTAGTAAATATGTCCTACAACGCTGCTTCATTTGGCTGGGCTTCCGTGGGCTTTCTTCGGGTATTCTGGCTCCAGCCTCCCAATTTGCAGAACGCAGGGGTTCCCGCAGACACGATAGCTAGGCCGGGCGCCCAATCTCATAGGACTCGGTACACGAGAAACAGAAGTACGGTGGATGGACAAAATCCTGCAATACCCATAAGAAGGAATATACCATAATTCCCATAGTTTAGGGTCCTTAAGGTGATGCAGGATTTTGACCATCAGCCGTAAGTAGGATTGAAGCCACCTAAATCCAAAACCCAAGCCCTCAACCCAGAGCCCAAACCCTCAACCCGAAATCCTAAAATGCCAAACCCCAACCCCTAACGCTAAACCCCCGAACAGATCTGATCTGAGATCTCCACTTGACGTCTTGGAGGAAGGCAGTTGCGGCGTCACATCCGGGCTTGAAACTGAGGTGTGAGCTTGGTGTTTGAGGTTCAGGGTTTACCTGTGGCCCCAAACCCTACAAAATAGTAGGTTATGACCCCTTGGTTAGAGGGCAGAACCCCTAAAACGGTAGGTTTTCGAATGCCCAGGTAAGGCTTAAGCTTTGGGGGTTAAGTTCAAGATTAGTTTGTCTAGTAGGTTTCATCGGAATCTTCTACAGGTGATTCTCTGGGTGTGCTTGCAGGTGCTTTTTGCTTTTTGCCCTCAACCCCAAACCCTAGTGATACCTAGTGATTGTTTATGGAGCCTTAGTTTCGCGCAGCACGCTTCAACCCTTAAGCCTAACATATTCTAAAATGCTTATACCCGGTTGGACCTGGTTTGATGCTTGGGGGCTCCTTATTCGTTCATTATAGTATCTTGGGCCCCGAAACCCTAATCTAAATTATTAAGGCCCCTATATGAAGTTTCGGTTTGCTTTGGCTTTCATCGCCGCTTAGGTCGGGAGACGGATGGAGTTTTGAATGCTTTCCGAAGTTTGGATATGGGAGTTTCCGAAAATAGGGGTACCTTATTTGGGTACCCTAAATAATAGGTGCCGTATTATAATAGGGACCCAAAAAGGGACCCTAATTTTGACAACCACCCCCTTTTGTGTCGAGATTCTTGGATGTCTTTCTCCGGCTTGGTTGTGAGTTGTGAGGTCTCCGTTTCAGGGTCCTGATTGAAACAGTACGGGTACACAAACAGCACAGCCCAGCGTTCAGCACCGGCATCGCTATACAGTTCTGCTGCTTGTATGTTTGTTTTTTACATCTCTTTTAAAAAGCCACTAAGGGTTTAGAGAGTTATTGAGGTTTTGGGTTGAAGCTTGGGCGTAAATGTTTAGGGTTCCCAAACTTTGCATCAGGGAATAACAGACTTCTATGTGCTATGTCTATGGGACGAGAGATGATGGGATAAACACCTCTGCAAGCCGAACGCTAGTCTCCCGTCATGCCCTCATCATGCCTTCTTGTCCATCTGGTTTCGGGAAGCCCGAAAATACCCTTACAGTAGGCCCTTGCTTCACCTAAACACTCGTCGACTGCCTCCCTTATTGCGCTTGTGCGCCCGTGCTGGTGAACTGCGGGCGGACAAGACAGAAATAGCCCAAAGAATGTCTGAAGTAAATCAAACCCGAACATAGGATCGAGTGACTTAGTCAGTAGGTTTGCTACAAATGTAAGTTACTAGTAGAAGTATGTAACCCCCAATTCAGGTACGCATAATAACCTTGCACCTCCGCCCTGCTCAGCTTCCGGCAACTGCATCGTCAAGTTGTTGTTGCCTCAGGCTGGTTGCCGTGGGCTTTACCCTAGACACTGTATCCTACACCATAAAAAAGGTGTGCCTCTAGGGTTAGGGCGTCGGCATAAGGCCCAGGGTTTCTAGCTTAAGGTCTTTAGGAAAGGGACGTCCGGGGCTCAGGTTTTAGAGCTGCGGCCGATGCAGACCTGTGACTCATTAAAAAATATAAGATCCTTTTTCCAAGGTGCCCTGGTATTAGTTCGGCATCATACTCCTTATAAAGGGAGGAGAGTGCATTGATCAGGGGCGTCCTTTGCGGCTGCTTAGGGGCTTCAGGAACAAAAGCAAAATTTACATGCGGGTTCTAGGCATTGGGTTTAACTACTCTTCTTCAGTTGGGATTTCTGGCCCTGGCCAAGACCCTAAACCCTAAACCGTTAAACTCTAAACCGCCAGAAGTTTGGGGCTCAAGGGTTTGGGTTTGCCTTTCCGGCAAATCTGTACATGTCTCGTTGGGTTTGAGACTTTGTGGGCTAGTGCCCTAAACATCTCTACTGCAGTATGGTATATGTAGATTTTTGCGCAGTATATGATAGTGTATTATCGCACAATATTGCAAAATACCATATTCTCGTATGTTAAACTAAAATCCACCATGGTATGCTGTACTGTATTGAGGCGGGGAGCTGTAAGCCTCTGGTTTCAGCTGGGTTTGGGGTTTAAAAACATGAGCGGTAGCCCCAAACAACGGTTAGCCACGACCTTCCACATCCAGCCTCAAAGTTCTGAAAATTTAGAAGATGGACACCTAGAACAGGCCTCTATGTCTGTGGCTTCGGGTTTAAGGCTTTATGCTCAGCCATACAGCCAGTGATACCCCCGCCCATAAGGCGCGAGGGTGACCATCAGCGGGCCCCACAGATGTAGCGCGGTGTCAAGCGCATATTGCAAGCTGCTCACGTGGACACGACCCAAAACTTGCCAAGATCCGATGGTGATGTGCACATCTGCTCGGAGGGTCGGGAGGACGTCAGTGGTACACTGCAATGCCACGTATAAAACGCAGCGACTGGGCACGTCCCCTGGCAATGCCTCGAACTGCACGGTGATGCTGCAGTACGCATGCAACAATTGAAATGAACGAGACCACACAGCCAGCTGAGCTGCTCGGAAATGGGCTGGAAGTGCTTCCGTAGAACAAGGGTAGTGGTTGTTGGGACTGCATAAATAAAAATGAATTTCTGTTCCTTCTTGGGTTTAGTGAAATACACAAAACATGTAGAACGTTGCCCACCTCTGACGAAGACCGTAGTAGGATGATAATTGGTTCCACAAGCCTTACCCTACTGCAACCTCCCTGTCTATTGTGGTGGCCTGCTTTAGTTGGGTACTGGCCCCACACAGTAACAGTCTGTTCCAGGGCCTCCTACTTTGGTGGTTTTATACGTTTGCATAATAATGAATATAATTCAGGGGCTATTGAAACGGGGCAGTACCCGAGGTAGACCTTACTTCCTAAGCCTCTGAGAAACCCGAATCACAGCTCGCAATACCGGAGCCAATTGGAAAACCATTCCTTCACAACTTCTGTATAGCGGTACTTGGAGGTTCATGGGTAGTTTTAAGGGCTACAAGTCACCTATTACATGTTATATGTATAGATAGCCTACTCATAAACCTAACGGATAACTACGCATGAACCTCCAAGCACCGGTCGAGCAAACCCATTTTGTTCCAATAAACCCGCCCGACCATACAAAGCAGTGAGCATGCCCTGTTGCAGCGGCTGGTGAAATCTCATACTTACGACGCCCTTACCCATAGGCCCCAAATTATCCCAAAAAGGAACTACTTTGGGGCCTATGGGTAAAGAAACCGGGTCATGCTTGATTCGAGCGCCCCGCAAGTACCGCCAGTGTAGGACGGGCACGATCCGCTCATGGGCTGGGCGCTGTTCAAATGGGGCTTCAGAGATCTTACGAAGGTTGGCGTTTGCGGTTCCTGGTGTAACCCCACTCAAGGTACAAAGAAACCCAAATACGCTAGAAAGTATGACGATGGCACTTGCGAGCCCGCAACCCTAAACCCAAGCGTTTGAGGTTGACGGTTCGGAGAATAGGATCTGGTCCAAGTGCGATACCAATACAGGGAGGGTATTCAATAATTATCGGGTTACTACAGGGCTTGAAAGAGTATCTATTCTGTTCGCAAAGGGTGCTTATCAGGGCTTGATAGATGAGCCTGAAAAAGCCTGAAACAAGTGGAATAGGGCCAAGGGTTCGGGTCGTATACCACACCATCTTCCCTAGGACTTATATAAAGAAGCTGTAATCAGGAGCACTAAAAGGTCGGTTATCTGGGGTCTTGGTAGGGTTTTGGGTTTATAGGGTTTAAGGTTTACAGGGTTTATAAGATTTAGGGTTCATAGGGTTTAGGGCTTAGGACACCGAGTCTGAAGGTGCACCAAAACTGTGAACCCGAAACCGAAGGAGGAGCTTACTTGGAGGGTCGGGGAACCTAGTAAGTACCCGAATAGGGACCCTAATTGAGGTTATGGTACGTATAACTCTATAGAAGAACTACTTACTAAGTCCCCCGACCCTCCAAGCATGTGGCGCTGGAATAGGCCCGGCTTCCCCAAGGTGTCTCAGGCTTTCCCCGTTCACGATTTAGGGTTTGGGAGTTTTTTGCGGTTGCAATTTTGCAGGCTCGGGCCCACAATTGAACGTTTATTAAAGACATTATTGAGGGCGAGCTAGTTTTGTATGACTTTTTTTAATAGAGCGCAAACTTCAGTAGTACTAAACCGAAAGGACCAGGACCTTGGGGTTTACGGGCATTTAAGGCTTTGTGCTTACGATTTAGGGTTTAAGGCTTTAGGTCGTACTAAACCGACAGGACCATACCGATTAACGGCTGTGTGAAAGCCGGCCGTTGCTTCAAATACCTCCTACTGACCCATACCCGGATGCCCAAACCCCCCAAATATTAAAACCCTGGCCGTTTTAATATTGAGGGTGGGGAGGGGGGGTTTCATATTAGGGCGAAGGGCTTAACCAACAAAAAAAAGTAGGTGCTACGTGCACCTAGACGGCGCCTAGAGGTTCACAACCGAGCAAGAAGTCAGATAGCACCTCGCCAAGGATGCTTCCCATATTCCGCGTGATGGGCGTGTCCGGGCAGAGCGTCGCGATGTGCTCCATCTGTCTGTCCAGCGTCTCCTCCTTCATACGGGCTGTGTGGGCTTTCTGCTCCTCTGCCGAGCGAGCTATCTCTTCCCACGTCTTCTCGTAGCCCGGTGTACTCAGGCGGTTTGTCACCTGGTACCCAGAGAACCCAATACACCTTGAATAAGGAATGTGGCTTAACTTATATAGGGCTTCATATTATGGTTTAAGCTATATTCCTTAATTCAGGGGTATTGGGCTCTCTGGGTAAAGGTCTTCACTGCACGCGATGTCCAAAGAGGCCGGACTGTATGCCTGGCCCTTTCTTGAGCGAATGGATTTGCCAATGCCGTATATCCCGCAAAACGTCTCCCTCGGCGAAGGCTGCAACCCTCTCAACAAGCGGTTTGGGAGTTTAGGATTTAGGGTTCAAGGGCTTATAGGGTTTAGGGATCCCAAAAACCGCAAACTAAACCCTGAATCTCTGAAACCCAAAACCCCTACTAAAGCCCTGAATCACAGATCCTAAGCCTGAAGAAGCCCACTTCCCAACTCTCCACGTACTTGACCCGATGCCCCGAACCTAGAAGATCCGCCAGCGCAAACCCTGAAACTCAAAACACCTGCAACCTTGTAGTTTAGGATTTACTAGGCAGTTCAGTAACTCACTGGGAGAAGTACATACATGTTTAAGCTTCTTATGTTATAATAGGAACCCAGAAACCTGAAACTAAAACAGTATATAGTAGAAGCCAGAAAGTTGGAACATCATTGTCCTCATTCCCTTAAAGCAAGGTAGAGGTAATCCTAGCACTAATACTCCTAAAGCCATGTTCCAACTTTCTGGCTTCTACTATACCACTGAACAGCCTGGTTTAGGAGTTTCGGATCGACCGCAGGGTTTCCGGTTAGGAAGTGGAGTTTGGGCCTTTCAAAAGAGCCGTCAGGGCCCTCCATAGGGATTCCATAGTGGGTTCAGGCTTTAAAAGGGCTTCGATTAAGGGTTTAGGGTTTAATTAGGGTTTAGGGTTTAGGGGAGTTTCGGGTCGTGAAGGCCCTCAATGGCGTGCATTTGACGAGCAACAGAGGGCAATTGGGGGGGGTCTAGACACACCCGGAAACCGATACCCTGCAAACAATCCAATGATGCCACTAATGTAATGCTGGTTAGCGTCCTCGAGGTATGGGGGGGAGTGGTCCGAAATTAAAAAGTGCCTCACATAAGAAGAACTCATTGTTGAGATTCAGGTCTGGATATCAAGGCCCCAGATCAACTGTCCCCAAAATTGTTTGTTATCAGGGCTCTGTAGCCAACGAGAAGGGAGATCAAAAACTATCCCAAAGCGATACCTAGTACCATGACCCTCATGGGCTCTCCAATAGAGTCTTTGGAACCCTTAATAGTGGGTATTTGGCGAATATTAGAGGGTACTTCGATGGGTCTAAGAGTCTAGGTATATCCAAGCCCCAGAGTTTAAAGGCAGCCCAGCGGCCGTGTCCATGTAGTAGCTCAAGGCCGGTACATCGCTCCCCTGCACGGTGAACCCATCCCTGGCGTGGTTGAGGGTTTAGGGTTTAGGGGCGTTTGAGGCTTCGGGGGGCCCGGGTCAGGGTGGATCCCTAAACCCTAGACCCTAACGGTTCCTTTAAGGCTTCGATTGTTGGTTCCTTAAAGCATTGCTTTCAGGGTTCCTTTACAGGCCCGAAAGCATAACGACCCCTAAAGTGCAAAACTTTAAACCCCTAAACCCTAAAAGCCGTAAATCCACCAATTAAAAACTTCCTAAACCCTAGACCCTACCTATCCATGCCCTACTTTAAACCCTTAAACTACTGCAACCTACTTCTTGTAGGATCCGTTTGACTTCTGTATAAGGAACATTCAAACCATAGAAACCTCCTGCGGGCAGACTGTGCCTTCTTCTGCATCTGCAAGTCAGCAAGTCGATATGGGTAGCTGTCAAAATTAAGGTCCCGTTTTGGGTACCCTACATAATAGCTGCCGCATTATAATAGGGGCCCAAAAGGGGACATAATTTTGACAACCACCCATATAGATAGGGCTCAGAAGTCGGATAAGCATGGTTGTGAGTTGCGACCTAAGTTAGAGGGCTTATAAAACCCACATCTTCATATAACTACCCATGATCTCCAAGCACACGCGATGGTTAGCGCGTAGCACCTGCCACTGTTTGCGGCTCTGCACAGCGACGGGTGCACTCATCATGCTGATACCCAAGGGTCCAAGTACCTAATAATCATATACTCGCCAAAATCCTAACCTACATAATTACTATCCTAAAACTGCCTAAAACCGAGTACCTAATTATTGGGTCCTTTGGACCCTTGGGGTAAACCCCAAACCGGTTGGGGGGGCTCGGGAGCTGGAAGCCTCCTAGCCGAACCCTGAAACCTGAAGCACAGAGGCTAAACACCGAACCCCAAACCCTGGACCCTGATCCTTAGCAAGGAGAGCTGAAGCCTGAACCCTACACAACCTAAACACGGAACCCGAAACACGAAAGCTGAAGGGCAACTGAACCGAAGAATTGAAGGGATGAGTCGCAAGAGCAGCACAGGTCTGAGGACTCTCATGGTTTTGGATGTCCTTACGTTTGGGGTCGGTTTTCTTAAGCTTCCATGCGCAAACAAAGTACCCCCAGACTTGGTGCTTGAAACCCAAATAAACCCTGGATCTCAAACCTTACAAACCATGGAACCTAAACCACCGACCAAGATTGAACCGCATACAGCTTGAAACCCCAAGACCTAAACTCTGAGGCCTCAACGCATTACAAAATCGGAACCAACCATGCAAAACCCTAAGCAGCACCACGGGTAACCATTAGCCGTGAACGGTAAAAACAAGAAGGATACCCCTAAATCCTACATGCTCTTGCAGAAGACCACACAAAGCTCCAAAACCTAACTAGACCGCATGAACTGAAACAACACTCAACAAACCCTACAGAGGCATGTGTGTGTGTGCGTGTGTATATATAGATATGTATATATATATATATATATATATATATAACCCCACAAAAACCATGAAGCCCTGCCGTGCCAAACCCACAGAAAACCCCTGTGAAACCGTCTGGAGCTGTTTGCCCTGCCATATAAGGCACCGAACTCATGTGGAGTTTAGGGCTTATGGGTTTAAGGCTCCAGAGTTCAACCTCTGGAACCCCAAACCCTAAACCCCTAAACCCCTAACCCCTAACCCCTAAACCCTACACCCCTAAACCCTAATGCCCTGAACCCTAAACTCTAGTTCCCTAATTCCCTAAGCCAGGGCCTAGGCTCTAGGAAAAAGCTGCAGACAAAGGGACACGGCCATGGCCGAAATGCCCGGAACGGACTGGCCGCCCAGGTCCCCGAGATCCTCACCTGCCAAAATCCTACTATAGGGGCCTTAATAATTAGAATAGGGCTCCTTTTAAAGGGGTCCCTTAAAGAGGGCTATGATATAGGGGCCTTAACCTGCCAAAAGTCGAGAGTGAACCCCAGTTGAAACATGGGGTTTGGGGTTTAGAGTTTGGGGTTTAGGGTTTAAGGTTTATAGAAATTGTTAAGGGTTTGGGGTTTGGGTGCCAAAAACGTTTTGAGCGAAACGTTTTGACATCAACGTTTTGACCGAAACGTTTTGAGCGAAACGCTTTGATGACTGAAACCACATTTTCAATTTGCTGGGCTTGGCTGGGCTGCGGATAACCACGGTCCGTGGACTCTCCTTCACTGGATAAGCCTTGAACTCAGCTTCGTGCTCATAGCCATGACCTAGCAGGAGATTGTCTCCCGCTATGAAGCCGTTTTGCTCGTGGCCTCTCTTCCAGCTGCAAGGTGACAGTCCGTGCACTACTCGAGCAAATTCTTCGAGCTGCGCCTTCCTCAGTCCGCCTGCCCAGCTGACCTCTGCATATTCATACTCGGACTGGTAGGCTTCGTCGAACATGGCTACGTGAGCCCTTGGGCAGTTCCAGCTAGAAAACCACCTATATTCGATGGCCGTTGGAGCTTTAGCTTCGGTCGTGTCGAGGGTATGTTGTGTTTTGTGTCATTTTGTGTAGTCGGTCTTGTTGGACTGGCGTCTTCACCGGAAGGTACAGGTGGCTGGCGGATGTAGCGGCCAAGATCTTGACTACACTCCATTCTAGCAGTGCTGTCCGTATACGCATAGCCGCACTCGTGACGACAACCGAGTTTAAAGATCTGTGCACTGTTGTAACAATACGTTTGTAGCACTTGTGGTTGGAAGCAGATGAATGGCTCGAGTGCTGAAGCCTCCAGCCCACTGTATAGGTGAAGCGCGAGCCTGGAACTTGGTGCCTTACTTCGTGTAGCTGCCGGTAACAGCCGGCATTCCGAACTCTCTTCTTTTGCACTGCCGGCGGCGGACACACTGCAGCGGTCGCTCAGACCTGGCAGTCAAGTCGCTGGACGTTCGTGTCGAACATCTGGGATTGAGTGGCCCAGCCTCGTCTAGCAGGTCATCTTCTCAAGCCGATGCGTGGGAATAGAAGCTGTGGCGCCACCGGTAGCAAGACGGGTGCGGCAAGCCCTCCACGTCTTCGCCTCAACTAGTGTGAAATGAGTTGCCTACCTGACTCTGCAAAGAGCTGAGTGCGATACAGACCCAGCCATCCTCTTTGAGAATGTCGATGGCTTCCTGGATCTTGAAGACGCCCTCGCGACGGGGTCTGCAAAGAACGACTGCAGACTTGTTGAAGGTCCGAGCTCCCTGCGCACAGCTTCTTCCGGATTTCACGGATCTTTCGCCACCGCACTTCCACAAATTCCCACACGTAGCACGAATTGCCTGTCGGCTGGGCGCCAAACATGCAGGCAGTCGGCATTTCTTAGGCCCCGGTATAGTTGTCTCTCGGCTCCGGGCGTTGCTCGTCGCCGTCGGCTGCCGTCCACTTCTTTAGCCTGGCACGGAAGCAAGTCACCGATAAAGCTGGTATTACGGGACGAGGCGGCGACTGTTTTGGCGTGAGCGTGTTGCGGAACGCATTGTCTCCCGCTCGGTTCAGCCTGGCATCACCGTCATGGGTCTAGGCACTCTGATCGTAAACCGAATCGGTCTGAGAAGCTGGCCGCACGTAGTGTAGTGCCGGGAAATCGTCCATCCTGCGGGCGTAGCAGGCACGAGATGGTATATGCAGTACGGCTATGTGAATCTTCCGCACCTGAAGAAGGGCAGTGCAGGAACGGAAGGATCAGAAAGGTGGGGCGAGAACCCTTTCGGCTGGCTAGTTTGATCCCAGCGGGTCGACCATGCATGAGAAGCTTCCAGACGCAGCTTTCGGAAAACCGACACCGGGAGCTGTTGCTACGTCATGCTTGTCTCGCGTCCACAGTTACACTGCTTGAGTGAGAGAGCCCACCGCAGAGGTGAAACGATGTGCTTGAATCCCGGAGTGACGGTTCCATCGTCCCTTTCACTTGGACGCGACCGCCATCTCTGGTGACCAAGGCCAAGGAACTGTCGCCCCCAATGATGAAGTAGGAGCTGGGCTGTTCCTGGTGCTCAATGCGTCACACTGTTGTAACAATACGTTTCTAGCCCTTGCAGGGTTGCACTTGAACTGAAACGGTAGGCTTGGAACCTGGAGACTTTGTCCTGCTGTAGAGGTGAAACGGAAGGCCTGGACCTGGAGCTTCTGGCTCACTGTAGAGTTGCAACACAAGGTAATTACAGGTGAAACGGAAGGGCTGGAACCTGGAGTCTCTGTAGTGGTGAGTGAAGGTGTACAACCTGAATGGAGGCCCACTATAGAGCGAAATCTGCTTAGCTATGCCCCTCAGAAAGCCATACGGGAGCTGCACGCTCTTTTCTCTCGCATTCACTGGCGCTGCTGTATAGATGAACGGTGGGCCTTGGACCTGGAGCCTGTAGCCTGGCCCACCACAACCTTGCACTTCGACTGAACCGGTAGGCCGGGAACCTGGAGCCTCTGGCTCAGTGTAGAGTTGAAACGGAATTCCTGCAACTGGAGTGTCTGGCCTGTCTGTAGAGGTGAAACGGACGGGCTGGAATTTTGGCTGGACTTTTTGCTGGGGTGGGCTGGGCTGGGGCTGCGGCTGGGCGGGGGCTGGGGCGGGGGGGCTCAAAGCTGGCTGTGGGTTTCAACTCATGTTTTTCCGGAAGCTTTTTAAAGGGTTTCCGCTTTGCTCTTTAACTCGGGGTCGGTGTCGGTGGGCTGGGGCTGGGGGTCTGGGCTGGAACCTGATTTCAACTGGAACGGTTGTGCAATGACAAGCAATTTCTATTTATTTCTTTATTGAGAGTTTAGGGTTTAGGGGTTAGAGTTTAGGGGTTAAGGTTTAGGGTTTAGGGTGAATGATGCTGGGATTCCCTGTGCTTCACCTCAAGGGCATTAGGGCAATGATGTTCCAACGTTCTGGTTTTCCCTGCGAGGTTACGGGTTTACCTGAGGGTTTAGGGTTTACGGTACCTTCTTAAGGACTTTTACAAGGAAATCATAGTCACGATCTAGGGTCTGGGGTTTACCCGGGCCCTATAACACCTACCTTCTTCAGGAAATATATAAGGAAATCATTCTCATCAGTCCTAAAAAGGTAGGCCCTTCAGGGTCCAGGTAAGGTTGAAGGTTTGGGATGCACGGTGTGGGGTTTGAGCTCTTCGCACGTAGGGTTTTGTGTAGGGCCTACAGGAAGGTGCCCGCGAATAGAAACTTCGCCTTTTAGCGCTTCAAACTTAATGGAGCCCGTAAAGGACGCCTTAGAGGAGCCCTTAAGGAACACTTTTAAGCGAACCTTAAACAGGGATTTTAGAGGCGAAGCTGTCATTGCCTGTGGGGATGCTGATGCCACGGCCTTCTTCTTGCTGCTCGTGAAGTCTGCTTGGGTATGGCGGGGTGTCAGCTGCAGAGCCCAACCGCAAAACAGCACCAAAAGCATTATTAGGGCCCAAAAAAGCACATAAGCCAAAAACAAGAATAGGGATATCCCATATGAACCCCCTTTTGTAATGAAGCCCGCCTAAATGTTCAAGCTTATGCCCTGTTTGGGTCCCTAAATAAGAGTTCACGCCTGTTTCAAGACTCAACCCTGAAGCATATGTCCGAGTTCCTAAATCCCTAAGGCTCCTAAGACCTAAGAATGTCTTGGGCTTTCTGCGGGAGGGTTTGGGCTTTGGGGGCTAGGCTTCGGGATCTCACAACAAGGGTCCAAGAGCCTTAGAATAGAGCAAATTTCTACCTCATAAAGCTCCTGAACCCCAGCCGAACCCCTACGCGCTGGCCGTTCCACGCAGCCAAACCCTAAGAGCGCTAATATAGGGGCCTTCATAGTTAGAATCAGGTTTGGGGGCCGATTTTCTTTAAATTCATGGTAAAGAACCCCCAAAACAGTGTAGGTAATTATTGAGGCCCCTATATTAAGGTTTAGGGTTGGGAGGTCGAATTCAGAAAGCTGCCTGGCTGAATCGACAATGCTGACATGTCCCCAAGGGACGAAACCCCCAAACCCACAACCCCTAATGTAGGGGCCTTCATAATTAGAACCCGGGGTCCGTTAAAGGGGTCCACAAGCATTACAGTGAAAATACTGTATAAGAACCCAGTGTTTAAGAACGTGAGCCCCAACCCAGGCGGAATTCACCAGATTCGAATTGCTTCCATATTAAGAACCTCAGGGTACCCTTGTTTTTTTGGGTCAGTTTCTTAATTTATTGGGTGCTTTCCCTCACCAAGGAAATTTAGAATCGAAAACTAAATTTCCCAACCCTCCACATCAAGAAACCCTCTGCCCGAACATAATGAACGGATAATGGCTTGATGGCGACAGGAATGCCACAGCGCAGTGGTTGTGCATAGGTTCTGGAGACACGAGGCTGCCGTTTCGAACTTCCCTGGTGTCATACTCTGGAAGTTTAGAATTGAAAACTAAATTTTCCAAACCGTGGAAGTTTAGAATTGAAAATACATTTTCCACACCAGCCTCCTCCTGGCCCTGTGGTCCTTGGCCCAAGCCACACCCCCGGCACCAGGAAATTTAGAATCCAAAAATAAATTTTCTGGAGGCTCTCACCCTCCCCTCTCCCTTTTTCTGAGGCCCCTGGCCATGCCCTCCGCCCCGAGTCCTTTCGACGAGCTGTGGAAATTTAGAATTGAAAACTAAATTTTCCAGACACCCATGGCCCACCGCCCCCCCACCAGGAAATTTAGAATCCGAAAGTAAATTTCCTTAGAGCCCTCAGTCAAGGAATCAATCGCGGATACGAACGTGGTTAAGAACCTGAGCCTACCCTAGCTGCTCGACCAGCAAAATCACATGTAATGGAAATTAAGAACCTTAGGGTAGGCTACTCTCGCCGAACGGGGTTCTTATGCAGGGCTTTCACTGTACTATCAGGGATACGGATACTATAAGGGCACTATAATATGAGGGCCTTGGAAATTAGAATAGGGTTTTGGGCTCCTTTAAAGTATACTTACAAGAAGGAACTCTAACAATAATATTGGTAATCATGTAGGTGTATAATAGTGTCGTCGCATAAGCCCTACAAGCCTTGTCACTCGCTATTGTTTCAGACGGTACTTGGTACCGTTCGGGCCTGTGTCTGCTCTCTGATTTTTCGGAAACTCCCAATCCTAAACCAGGTCCAAGCAACCAAGCCTGACATCTTAAACAACAAGGCCATGTCCAACCTAGAGACTCAAATCCTTCCAGAATCCGATTACCGGGGCATCAACAAGCATAATAAGGCATTGGAGTTTAGGGTTCGTTGTTACTTTTCTGCTGAACCCTATATTACAGCCCCAACCCAGAGAACGAAACGATCAAGGGCACCACGGCTACGCAAAGGCCAAACCTTATCCTCCGCCTAAACCCTAAACCCTAAACCCCAAACCCTTAACCATGCACTCCGGCTTGAAATGTCACGGTTTCGAGGCGTATAGGGTCAAAACTTTGGGGAAGTTGCGG